TCACCAGAAAAGCTGTAGAGGTTCCCCTTCCCACTAAAGACAGCGAGGAACCTCCGGCCAAAGAAGCCCCACCTGATGAAGCTAGAAGAGAGGAAGACCCAATGGTGAGTTCACCCATCCCCCCTTTTCAATTAAAGTGAAACTGGTTTTGCCAGAGACAGGGGAGCAAGGAGAACTGCCAGCAATAATAGACACAGGTTGTACCAGATGTTTAATTGGACTTCTAATTGTTGAACAATTGGGGATCTGAACAAGAGCCTTAAAGCAACTAATTAAATTTCACCAGGTGAATGGGACGTTAATTGGAGGGGTCCCCACCACCCATATTACACAACTGGTTAGATTAGAAATCGGAAGACATCACAAATTTATACAATTTATAGTAATCTCAAAGATATCAGAATCTGTCATACTGGGCCTGGCTTGACTGGACAAATGGGCCCCCACCATCAAATGGGAAGATGTATACTGGAAAATCATAATGGATATCGGCCCACTATCCCCTGCCCTCCTCCAAAGGAACAGCCTACCCATAAGGGCCAGCTGCCAGAAACAGCAGCTGCTTGTTCAGACAAGCCTCCAGGCGAACCCCAGATTCCTAAGGTATATAGAGATTTAGCCGAAGCGTTCAGCAAGGAGGAATGTAACCTCCTCCCCCCTCATTGGCCCACAGATTGTGCCACCAAATTAGAACCTGGAGCCAAGTTGCCAAAACTCAAGATGTACTCCATGATGCCTGCTGAAATGACCGAGTTGAGGAAGTACATTGAGACCAACCTAACCAGACGGTTCATCGAGCCTGCAAAATCCAGGGTGGCCACCCCAGTATTGTTTAAAGAAAAGAAAGATGGGGGGCTAAGATTATGTGTGGACTTTAGAAATGTAAACTGCATTTGCATACAAAATACATATCCCCTACCACTAATGAAAGACTTACTGAACTACTTGTCAAAAGGCAAGATTTTCACCAAGTTGGATCTAAGGGAAGCCTACTACCAGGTTCGCATAAAGGAGGGAGATGAATAGAAGACTGCTTTTAACTGTCCCCTGGGCAGCTTCCAATTCTGGGTTCCAATTCCAATCCTTTTGGACTCCAAGGGGCCCCTGTAGTCTTCATGCAACTGATCAATGAAGTTCTGCATGAACACCTGTATAAGGGGGTCCTTGTTTACCTGAATCACATTCTTATATTCAGCGAAAATATGGAAGAACATGTCAAATTAGTCAGGCGAGTGCTGAAAAAACTCCTAGCGACCAAACTTTATGCAAAGCTGTGAAAATGCGAATTCTGTAAGGAGTTCTTGGAATACTTGAAATACAGGGTGCCATATCAAGGAATCGAAATGAACCTGGGGAAGGTGAAGGAGGCAACCCCCATGAACCTGTAAGCAACTTCAAAGCTTCATGGGGTTTGAAAAATTTTACAGACAATTCATCCCATCCTTCGGCAAGGTTGCTCTCCCCTTGATGGAATTACTAAAAACTGGTCCACTTCCACCAAGCCAAAACCTAGCCAACCCTTAGCTTGGACAATGGACTGCCAAAAATCCTTTGAACAATTAAAATGCCTATTCGCAGTGGAGCCGATTCTCCAGCACCCTGACCCAAATAAACCCTTTGTGTTCCAGGCTGATGAGAGTGATGTGGCTGTGGCTGCTATTCTAGTGCAAAATCATGCCCAAAATGAACTAATGCTGTGTGCTTACATATTGAGAAAGTTAACGGACACTGAGTGTAGATGGGCGGTATGGAAGAAGGAGGCTTTTGTGGTGCAATGGGCTCTCCTATCCTGGAGACACTTCCTAGAGGGGGTTAAGGAGCCTTTCGAAGTGTGGACTGATTACAAAAACCTTGAGGCGCTGAAGACCCCATGCAGGTTCACTTGGCTCAGTATTTCAAATGCTTTAACTTCAACCTGAAATACATTCCGGGAGGGGGGGGGACCTATTAGTTGATGTTCTCTCCCGTAAGCCCCAGTTTGACAGCCGATGATAGTTCGGCTGAGATAGTTCATGCCATGATCTCTGAGATTCAGCCACTAGAGTGCAAACATGCCGTGGTTCTGACCTCCCTGAAGACAAGTTGACAGCAGAGTTAAAAACGGCACTCTCAATCGATTCCTGGTTTGAGGAAAACCAGACGGACCTAACTCTAAGAGAGGGATTGGCTTGGAAGGGGAGTATAAGATTTATGTGCCCAGCAGCATGAGACTCCTGGTGCTAAAGAGGGGTCATGATTTTTGACTAGGGGGCCACTTTGGATTTTTAAAAACCCTCCAGTTTACTGCTAAGTTCTGGAAGGAGTTCCTATGGTCCATTGGGGTTTAGCTCAGCTTTCCACCCATCGACTAATGGATCCGCTGAAAAATCGAACACAATGGTGGAACAATAGATTAGATGTTATGTAAATTATCAACAAGAAAACTGGGTGGAGTTATTACCATTCGCAGAAGTGGCTTATAGTAATGCAGTACACAGCAGTACTGGGTTCATTCCTTTTCAGATAACTATGGGCATGGATTTTGTGCTGATGCCTGAGTTGCCTAGTGAGCCGCCCACTTCCATGTCCTTAACAGAATGGATGACCTCATTAAAAAAGGGTTGGGAGAATACTAAGAAAACTTTAGCTGAATCAGGGGGAAAATATAAGGCCCAGGCTGATAAACGCCGGTCTCTCAACCACCTTTCCGAACAGGAGATAAGGTGTATTTATCAACCAAATACCTAAGATTGAGGATACCTAGCAAGAAGTTTGGACCCAAATTCATAGGTCCCTTCCCTATAGTGAAAGTGATTAACCCAGTGACTGTCCAACTTAGCCTCCCTTGCATATTAGGGAAAGTACACCGAGTTTTTCATAGTAGCTTATTGAAACCAGCAAGAGGATCTAACTTAAGGCCCTTATCAACTGCTCCCCACTTCCTTTGGTAGTACAAGGGGAGACTCATTATGAAGTTAAAAAGATCCTTGACTCTAGACCAGGGATCCTCAAACTACATCCCACAGGCCGGGTATGGCCCGCTGACATAATGTATCCAGTCCACGCAGTGGTGGGATTCAGCCCCGCCCCCTGCCCTGCCTCCTGCCCAACCACTCCCATCCACTCCTCACATGGCTAGCTTTTCGGCCGAAGAGGTTGTAGGGAAAAAATGCCTTTAAAAGCCTCTGGCGATCCCAGCTGAGTTGCCTGAGGCTTCTAAAAGCATTTTTTTCTGCAACCTCTTAAGGTTGTAGAAAAAATGCTTTTAAAAGTTAAAAAAAAAGTTGGCCACACCCACCCATCGCGACCCAATGGTGCGGTAGGTGTGCTGCCGCCGTCACCGCTCAAGCAGGAGAGAAGAAAGAGAGATGGAGAGGAAGAGAGATGAAGGAGAGAAAGAGGAGGGAAGAAAGAGATGAAGGAGAGAAAGAGAGGGGGGAGAAAGAAAGAGATGAGAGAGATGAAAGAGACACACAGAGATACCTGTTTAAAAGAAAATACTAGGAGCCACAAAACCTGGGTGGGAGTAAGTGATATGAAGTTGGCAATGCCAACCCAGGTTTAAGGTTGTGTTTAAGTGTTTACATGTGTTAAAGTTGCAGACCCCTGACCTACCCCATCCTGATCTACCCCTGACCTACCCCATCCTTCACCCTGCAGCCAGTCCTGTAGGCCTGTGCCCACCTCTCACCTGGGCAGCAGCAGCCTACCTACCCCGGTTGTATCACCTTGCCCTGCAGTCAGCCCCGAACACCTGCCTCGGACTGCCTCTGACTGCTCCAGTAGGTCATTTTTATTTAATTAATTTAATTAAGTGCTGCAATTGGCATAAATGATGACCGGTCAAAAGTGCGAGGACCTGTCAGAAATCACTTTTTTCAGCCCTCTGGGTAGTCCCTATGTGCATATGGACTACTCAGAGGGGTGAAAAAGTTATTTTTGACCGGTCCTCGCACTTTTGACCAGTCCTTGCACTTACGACTGTCCTCACATTTTACATTTTGCACCCTATCTTGTCACCGTGGTGAAGAGAAGTAGTTGTGAAATGAGTGACATGGTTGTTAAGAATGCTGCAATGGGCATAAATGTGAGGATGGTCATAAGTGTGAGGACCATCAAAAGTGTGAGGACCAGTCAGAAATGACTTTTTTCAGCCCTCTGAGTAGTCCCTATGCACATAGCCACGCCCACCCGGTCACATGACCAGCTAGCCATGCCTGCCCAGTCACATGACCACCAAGCCACATCTCTCAACTAAGCCACACCCACAGAACCGGTTGTTAAAAAAATTGAATCCCACCACTGAATGGAATGGAATGGAATGGTTTCTCTTTCCCACCCCCATCTGCTCTTGTAAGAGCCGTCTCTTTCCTGACAGAGAGATGGGAGGGAGAGAGCGAATGGAATGGAATGGGATTCAGCAAGGTTTGTCTTCCCCACCCCCATTTGCTCTTCTAGGAGAGAGGCAGGGAGAGGGAGAGGGAGAGGGAGAGGGAGAGGGAGAGGGAGAGGGAGAAGGAGAAGGAGAGGGAGAGGGAGAGGGAGAGGGAGAGATGGATGAATGTTGATTGTAACCTCCTTGGGGCTGAGAAGAATTGCTGCAAAACTGAGTTTTCTGAAGTGGACCACTAGACTCGTAAACAACTTAAAAAATGATCTAGTAAAAAGAAAAGTCAAACAAAAGCAAATAAAACACTCCCAGGAGGAAAATAAATTGAAGTTTCATTTGTGTGTATTATTTAATGGACTGCTAAATTGGCAAAATGGACTGCTAAATTGGCCATGCCCATTCAGCCACACCCACCCAGTCACATGGCCACCTAGCCACGCCCACCCAGTCACATGGCCACCTAGTCACACCCACCCAGTCACATGGGGGGCCCAGCCATACCCACCTAGCCAGTCTGGCCCCCCAACAGTCTGAGGGACCCTGAAGTGGCCCTCTGTTCAAAAAGTTTGAGGACCCCTGCTCTAGACTATACAGGGGTCGGTTACAATATTTTGTACACTGGAAAGGGTACCTGTTGTCTGAAGCTACTTGGGTGAAAAGTTGGGATGTGAATGCTGATACTCTGGTAAAGCAATTTCATGATAAATTCCCTGAGAAACCAAAAGGTCCGCCTGGAGGGGGGAGAGGGGGTTAAGGTACAAGGTATTAATCCCTTCTTTTGTGTTTTGTCTGTTTATTTTTCAGGGTGTGTTTTTTTCTGCAGGGGGGGACACCTGTCAGCTTTGGAAGCCATATTAGGCCGGAAGCTTCTATGCTGCCACCTTCTCATGTGTGGGAAAGTAGGAGGGGGGATTTAGTAGAGGGGTTGTCTGTAGACATAATAGCATTCTTCCTGTCAGTCAAGGTCAGGGTGATCCTGCATCTGGAGAAGAAGTGGTCGGAGTGAGGTCTCGATATGGGACGGCAGTTGATTGGAGCATGTGATTGACTGAGGAGTGAGGGGATGGTTTGGGGGGTTTTGATTTACTGAGGGAAAACCAGACCTCTCAGATTCGAGTTTTCCCAGATGTGCCAGTTTACCTATTCTAGTAAATAGAACTTTGAAAAATGCTTGCTTCAGAGTCTTTACTTGGAATTGGGGGTTTTTCTGGAATGCTGACAACATGTTTTCCATGCACACAGCTTTTATTCCCCTGAAATCAACAAATAATGTCATCATCGCGTTTTTCTTTTCTTTGAACAGTACGGGGGCTGTTTTTCGTCAGCTGAATGAAAACCTTAACTAGGTTCTTGTCAATTAGCTCCTTCATCTCTCTTGGGGGTCATGGAATACATCTTTGGCTTAGGAAGTTTTGCACTGGCAAGATCTCAATTGCACAGTCGATAGGGCAATGGGGGGGGCAGCAGGTCACATTCTTTCTCACTGAATTCCTCTGCTAGGTCCCGGTACTCTTTGGGGATGGACTGGGTCCATGGTAGCTGCTCCGACACGGCTTTCAAACACTTTTTCCCTTCAGTTCCTGCTCAATGCTGAGCCGCTCCTCTCTCAAGGCTGTTTTGAGGGGGGAGAGGGCCTTTTTCCAGTCTCATTTTCCTCTCTCCCCCTTCTCACCATATTGTCAGACCCCACTTGTCAGCCAGGACAGTCCCAGAATAACTACCTCAGTCATTTTTGGGACTATCATGAAGCAGAAAGGCTCCCAATGTTGACCCATCTTTAGCCGCCCTGGTTCGATTAAGTGCATCACGGGGGACACTCCTATTAGTGATCCATTGACCTGCTCGAAACTCATGGCTTGGAGCAGTTTCTTCTCTCGGACCCCCAACCTTAGCACTGTTGGCAGACTAATTAGGTATCAGGTGCAGCCTGAGTCTATTAGGGCATCCACCACTCCCTGGACCCCTGACTTTGGCACCACCATTCTTGCAGGGATGGCAAAGGGGCAGATGGCTTCACTTATGGTCAGGTCACTTTCGCCTTCATCCTCACTGTCATAGGGGGCAGGTTGCTGGTCCCCTCTGGTCAGAGTTCTCTCTCCCTCACTTGAGGGGGAGGGGACCTCAACAGCCTGGTGTGCTAAATTCGACTTCTCCCAATTCTTCCACTATACTTTCTTTGGTTTCATCAAGGCTGGCGGGTTGCTCTTTGGCCAGGAGGCAGGTTCTAGGCACTCGGCTGCTTGCTGACACTGATGGCCACATTGGAAGCATTTGATAGGGGCCCCGACTGGACCAGTGGATGAAGCCATGATAGGTCACCATCTGAATTGGCACCTCTCCTGGCTCCGCTTTGGCTTTGATTCAGGCACACCGTGCTTCTTGCATTGCTTTAGCTTGAGGTCTAGCACTTTGGCCATCTGGTACCATTCGTGAATTCGAGGATTCCCTGGTAGATGCAGGCATGGTACAGTTCTCGGTCCAAGCCCTTCTTGAAATGATAGACCAGTAGCCTCTCCAGCCATTGCGTAAACTTGCCAGTGTCCCTGCAGAACTCCCAAATGTACCCTTTTGCTGGCTGCCCTCCTGCTTCAGATCCTGGACTTCTGCCACAGCTTGCAGGGTCTGGGACTCATCCTTGAATCTGGCCCTTAGCTCTTCCAGGAAAGCATTGATGTTCCCCAGCTCCAGCGCATCCTCATCGTGGAGCCTTATCATCCACTCCATGGCTTCTTCCTTGAGTGGCCACTGCATTCACCATCACAACCTCCATCAGGTAGGCTAGAGCATAACAGTCCAGGTGAGCCCATATCTGGTTTAGGAAGAACTTTTCTGGGTCCCCATCGAAAGTGGCTTTCTTTGGCAGGGGATCTATTGGCAGAAGATGAGGGGTGCCCATTGCCCAGGGAACCAACTGGGGCCTGGATAGTAAGGCCATGGTTGATATCCAGGCCACCTAGGGGGGATCCGAGGCTGTCCAGCCAGGCTTGCCACTTGCTGCTGCTGTTGGGGGTGTCAGCATTCCAAGTAACATCCCCAATGAAAGAAGACTTTGAGGTGAGAAGTTCCTCAAAGTTCCATTTCATTCAAAATGTCATATTGGCACATCTGGGAAAACCTGAAACTGAAAGCTTCCAGGTTTTCCCCACCCAAAAGAAAGTCCAAGTCCCTGCCCCAGTACCCACATGTCCATCACATGGTCCAATCAATGCACCGTCCCAACTGGAGATGCCTCCCAGTCACGCCACTCCAGATGCAGGGCAGGATGCCCTTGACTCTCAGAGAAAAGAATGTTATTATGGCTAGATATATCCCCAACTCCATACAATCTCCCTCCCAGTTTCCCACAGCACTAAATGTGGCATCCCTGAAGATCCAAAGTAAAAGATGGCTTTCAGGGCTGACAGGCCACTTCCCCACAACCGATGACCGTGTCCTGCAACGAGCTCAACATAGGGGGTTAAAGCAATATTCCCTAATCACTCTTCCCCCCCCCCAGAGGACCCTTTGGCTTATCAGGAAATTTATCATGGAATTGCTTCACTAATCTGTCTGCTTTTATGTCCCAGCTTTTAACCTAAGTAGCTTCAGATAAAGGGTACCCTTTCCAATGAACTAAATATTGCAATCAACCTCTATACAATCTAGAGTCTAAAATTGTTTTAACTTAATAATGGGTTTCCCCTTGCACCACTATAGGTTTGGGCGCTAGTCAGGTCTGTGGTCTCAATCTTGACCCAGTGTGCTGCAATGAAAGACAGGATGCACTTTCCCTAGAATGCATGGGAGGTTAAGCTGAACTGTTACTTGGTTAATTACTTTCACTATTGGGAAAGATCCTAAAAACTTAAGTCCCAGCTTTTTACTGGGCAACCGCAATTTTATGTATTTGGTTGATAGGTAAACCTGATCTCCCACATGGAAGGGGGTCTGGAGAGATCAGTGTTTGTCTGCTTGATTTTTATATGCCTCAGCGACTTCTATCAGTGCTTTTTTGGTGTTTTCCCACCCCTTCTTCAGCGACTCTATCCACTCAGTCAGAGTCATAGAGGAAGGTGCTTCTCTGGGCAGCTTGGGAATTGGGGACATAGTCCATGCCACTGGTGACCTGGAAGGGGGTCAATCTGGTGCTGCTATGTTGTAAGCCACTTCTGCGAATGGCAACAGGTCCGCCCAATTCTCTTGTTGGTAGTCCACATAACATCTTATATATTGTTCCACCATTGCATTCGCTCATTCCACAGCTCCGTTCATACTGGATGGAAAGTCAAACTAAGTCCTTGTGTGGACCCGACTGATTTCAGGAACTCCCTCTAGAATTTAGCGGTGAATTGGACCCCTCAATCTGAAATTACCCTGCGGAGTACTCTGTGTAGCTGGTAAATATGTTAATAAACATCTTTGTCAACTTCTTCACTGAGGGCAATCCCAAGCAAACAGTGAAGTGGGCGTGCTTGAAAAATAAGTTGATTACCGTCCAAATCACTGTATTTCCCCCACTTTCTGGGAGTTCAACTATAAAGTCCATTGCAATTTCCTCCCAAGATCGGCTGGAGGAACCCAGGAGGTTTTCCTGGTTTCATATTCATGGCTGCACAAGTAACAGAGCTTTTTATGTAATCTTCCATGTCAGCTTTCATCTTTGGCCACCAAAATTTTCTTCTGGCCAGGTGCAGAGTTTTCAGGAACCCAAAATTGCTGTCCAGCTGTGAGTCATGGCTGTGCTGTAATACTTCCAGCCTCAAGCTGGCGGGGACATACAGTTTGGACCCCTTCCAAGCTAACCTATCTCTCATGGTCAAGACATCTTTATTATCTGTGAGTCTGCTGGGAGCGCTGCTTTCAGTGCTGCTGTCAGTTTGTCCCATCTGAGACCAGGTTGCCATCTGGCTTGACCTCTGGTGGTGACTTGTGCAGCTTGTTGTGAGGGGGGAATGATGGTGTGGGTGACTTTTTCCCTACGACTATCAAATTGCAGTTTTCTTGACAAGGCATTGGCTAGCAGATTTTTTCTCCCCTGGAATGTATTTTAGTTAAAGCTCAAAGTTCAAAGTTAAAGCTCCTGAAGTATTTGCCCAATGGATTTGTTTAGAAGAGAGTTTTCTGGGAGTTTTCAGGGCCTCGAGGTTTTGTGATCAGTCCAAACCTTGAAAGGCACTTTGTCCTCTTCAAGAAAAAGTCTCCAGGAGAGAAGGGCCCAGCGGACTGCGTAGGCTTCTTTCTCCCAAATTGCCCACCTCCTCTCAGTGTCGATGAGCTTCTTGGACACATAGGTGCACGGCAGGAGTTCTCCTTGTGGGTCCTTCAGTAGGAGCACAGCTGCCACCACCACTAAGTCACTAGCATCTGCTTGGACAATGAATTGTCTCTCTGAATCTGGGTGTTGGAAGATCATCTCCTTGGCAAAGAGCCATTTTAATTTCTCAAAGGCTTTTTGGCAGTCCATTGACCAGATGAGTGGTTCACTTGGTTGTGGTTTTGTGGGAGGAGGCCCTGTTTTTAGTAGTTCTGTTAAGGGCCATGTGACTTCTGCAAATGCTGGGGTGAATTGCCTATAAAATGTCACAGCAAAGCTGCCCAGGAAGCTTTGAAGCCATTTGTGGGTGCGTGGGGGCTGCTAGTCTAGCACTGCTTTCTCTTTCCCTGGGTCCATTTCCACCCCTCCATTTGATATCCCGTAGCCCAGGTAATCTAGGGGGGTTTTATGGAATTCACATTTTGATAGCTTTGCGTAGAGCTTTGCGGCTAGGAGTTTTTTTGGCACTTGCCACACCAGCTTTACATGCTCAAAAGTCTTGCTGAATATAAGAGTGTCATCTAGGTAAACTAAGACTCCTTTGTATAGGTGCTCATGTAGCACCTCATTTATCAGCTGCGTGAAAACTGTGGGGGCCCATCACAGACCAAATGGCATGAATTGGAAGCTGCCAAGTGGACGGTTAAAGTCGATCTTCCATTCGTCTCCTTCTTTAATCTGTATGCAGTAAGAGGCTTCTCTAAGGTCCAGTTTGGTGAACACCTTGCCCTTGGCTAAGTGACTTAGCATGTCCTTCATGAGGGGGAGGGGGTAGGTATTCTACACACACAAGGCATTACTTCGATGACAATCCACACAAAGCCTCACCTCCCTCTCTTTTTTTCCCCCTTAAATAGTACAGGGGCTGCCACTCTGGATTTTGTGGACTGGATAAAACCCCACACTAATTTGGGATCGATGTATTTCCTTAATTCATCCATTTCTTTTGGAGTCATGGAGTACATCTTTGGTTTAGACAGCTTTGCTTCTGGCACAAATTCGATCGTGCAGTCTGTTGGGTGGTGAGGGGGGAGGAAGTTGCAATCTTCCTCACTAAAGACACCTGACAGGTCTTGGTACTCCATTGGCACCTGTGGGCTGCAGGCAGTCCATCTGTGGTGGGAGATGCAGTTTCAGGCTTGCTGAGGCTGCTGGGTTTTTTGGCCTTTTGGCAACAGTCCAGTTTGATGGGTGGTAGCAGTCTGATGCCTATTCTTAGTTTTTGGTAGCTGTCTTCACATGATGGTTGGTCCCCATTTGTCTAGCCAAGTGAGGTCCAATATGATTGATTTGGTCATTTTGGGAGCTATGATGAATTGGATGAGTTCTTAGTGATGCCCCATCTCCAGCCTAAAAGGTTCTGTGACCAATGTGGCAGGGGCTCTACCTATTAGTGTCCCATTGACCTGTTCAAAATGCATGGGGCGTGCTAGGGGTCTCGTGCTTATCCCTAGCTGTTGGACTATTGGGAGGCTGATCAGGCATCTGGTGCAGCTAGTGTCTATGATGGCCTCTACCTCCTTTTGGACCCCTGTTTCTGGCACTATAATCCAGGTTTTGATAGTGAAGGGGTGGGTAGCTTCACTTACCATTGGGCTGTCTTAGCTGATGCTCTCTTTGGTGGAACCTGGAGGGGTTTCTCTGACTGGAGTTTCCTTGTTCCCAGTTGGAAGGAGAGGAACCTCAACAGCCTGCTTAGCAATTTTCCCTTTGTCCAGTGGCTTCTGCAGGGTTCTTCTTCCCTGGGGTGTGGGGTGGGTCCGGACGTAAGAGACTGGGCAGGGGCCTGGCATTCACGTGCTCTGTGCCCAAGCTGGCTGTACTGGTTGCACTTGATCATCCTAGACGGTGTGGGTTGCGGTGTGTCAGGTAGCTTAGCCAGGGTTCGGTGGCCCAGAAGTCTTCTTGCTGGTTTTTCTGCAGTCGGATTCCTATGGGGATGGATTTCCAGGTCCATGGCCACTGCCATGTTGTACCAGGCTTGTATACGCTAAGGAACCCCCCTGATGCCGCAGGCTTGTCTGAGATCTAGGTCAAGGGCCTCTTTGAAGTGGTAAATGAGGATGCGTTCAGGGCAGTCTCTCAGCTTTCCAGCCAATCTTTGGAATTCCCATACTAATTCTTTGGGGGGCTGGCCCGCTTGCTTCAAGGCTTTGATCTGGGCTTTGGCTTCTACTTGGTGGGCTGTGTCTTCGAACTGGCCTTGGAGCAGTTGGACAAATTTGTCCGCATCATCTAGCTCTGGGCTCCTTCTTCGTGTAGCTCAGCTATCTTCTCCACCACTTCTCCTTCATTCATGCCATCCACAATCGCTAAAATCATATCTTGATCAGTTTATTATTGTATCCATAGCGGTCAATGTGGGACCAAACCTGATTGAGGAAGTAGGCCAGCTTTCCTGGGGTCCTGTCAAATGTTGTTCTAAATTGCAGAGGGGGAGTGGTTGATGGGGCTGGCTGCAGGGCTGGCACAGGCTGCTGAACCGGTACCAGTGGCTGGACAGGTACCGGTGGTGAGGCTGGTACCAGCTGAGGGACCGGAGCTGGTGTCCATTGGTATTGAACCCACCCCTGGCCAGGGTAGAAGGCCCAGCCAGAGGACATCTGGTCAGCAGGAGGCAATCTGAGGACCGGCTGTATTCAGTGGGCTGTGTCTTCAAACCAGCCTCGGAGCAGTTGGACAAATTCATCTGCATCATCTAGTTCTGGGGCTCCTTTTTTGTGTAGAAGTCCCAACGGTGGCCCTTGTAGCGCAAGATTGGATTAGCTTAATGGGCCTTGCTGCGGCACTGCTCCAATTCCAGCAGGAGCTGTCACCCTAGTAGATTGGGCCTGATATGTGAGGCTATGGTGTGATCCGCTTTGTGCCGAGTGAAAGGAGGTCGATGCTCCACTCGGTGTTGTTATGACCCCCTGGCCCAGAAATGTGAATGTGGGCTGAGCCAGAATCCATCCAGGTGGGCCAGCACTAGGAGGTTGTACGATGCTGCCCATGCTGAGCTGGCTGAAGAGCTCTGGTAGGCCCGCCAGCAACTGGCTTCGCAAAAGTGGTGGAGAGCCCTATTCTCAGGAGTTGCTGAGATCAGCCTTTTCTGATGCTCTCCATTCGAGGGCTTGGGTCTACTATACTCTGCTCGCTCCCATCTGCTGTTCCCACAGCATCGCCCTGGTCAGCAACTCCTGGGGCAGCACGGCTCCTGCAGCCTTGCCCCACAGACAAGGGTCTGGTTGAGCAGCTTGCCAGGGCACCATCTCTATAGTCCAGGCACCCTGTTGGCATTCCACTTCGGGGGCCTCTGCTGCTTTCACCACAGCTTCAGAAGGGGGGTAGAGGGTCTTGATGTGGACCATCGAACCAGTCCCAGTGGTTTCCCCTGTGGTTGCCATGTCTTCCTCCATCTTCCCTTAGTCTTCATGCCGCCAGGTGTCAGGTCAGCGTTTGGGGCTCAGGACCCTGGACAGAACCCCGGTGATCAGGGAGCTGGTAGAACTTTTAAAGGAGATTCGGGTTAATGTCAGGGTTCCAAGTAACACTCCCAATGAAAGAAGACTTTGAGGTGAGAAGTTCCTCAAGGTTCCATTTTATTAAGGATGTCATATTGGCACATCTGGGAAAACCTGAAACTGAAAGCTTCCAGGTTTTCCCCACCCAAAAGAAAGTCCAAGTCCCTTCCCCTGCACCCACATGTCCATCATATGGTCCAATCAATGCACCATCCCAACTGCAGTTGCCTTCCAGTCACGCCACTCCAGGTGCAGGGCAGGATGTCCTTGACTCTCAGAGAAAAGGATGTTATTATGGCTAGATATATTCCCAACTCCATACAATCCCCCTCCCAGTTTCCCATTACACTAATTGTGGCAGCCCTGAAGATCTAAAGTAAAAGATGGTTTCCAGAGCTGACAGGAGGCTTCGTCTTGGTCCTGGACTTGCTACTGCTGCCATCTGGTGAGGCAGACTGACTGCTTGAGCTGCTGCAACTGGGCTTGGCCTCCAACAGGCTAGAAGTTGCTGAGTCATCTGGGCCGAAGTCTCCACCAGTGGTTCAAATCTGTGCAACAGTTTCACTCCTTGAATCTCCATGTGGTTGCATCTCTCTCTCAGCCATTTGATTGATGGGCTATGGGTGGCAGTTAGGTACCTCCATTCCTCTTGCTCATCCCACTCAGCCGTCTTCTTGTGCCAGGCATCCCCCTCTGTTCGATAGTGGTCCCCTGTGGCTTGGGCTTCTTCCCACACTGCTTGCCTCTTGACTCTCTCCATGAGGACTTTTGATCTGGCCATTACTGGAGAGACTCAAATCAAGCACATTAGATAAAAGATTTATATGAATTAGCCAGAGGTGAAATCCATCAGGTTCTGACAGGTTCTGGAGAACTGGTAGCGGAAATTTTGAGTAGTTCAGAGAACCGGCAAATACCACCTCTAGCTGGCCCCAGGGTGGGGTGGGAATGGAGATTTTGCAATATCCTTCCCCCAGGAGTGGAGAGGGAATGGGGATTTTGCAGTATTCCCCTGGAATTGGGTGGGAATGGAGATTTTGCAGTATCCTTCCCATGCCACGAAGCCACGCCCACGAAACCACGCCATGCCCACCAAGCCATGCCCACAGAACCGGTAGTAAAAAAATTTGGATTTCACGCTTCCGGTTTGGGGTCGAGGTGAGACAATCGGGGAAATAGCGGGCTCTGATGAGCCCCGAGAAAACCCCGGCTGCCAGGGGTTCGACTGAAGCCATCTTGCAGGGACAGGGGAAGAAGAGGGGTGCCTCGGATGACCAAGAGGAACAGGCAAGTTCCTCAGAGGTCGGAGGGAACCCTCTGTGAATTGGCGGCAGGGGCGGCAGCCATGGCGGCTGCCATGAAGCTGTGACAACTGGGCAAGAAAAGTGCTGGAGGAAAGCGGAGAAAAATGGAGCTCTTTGAAGCCAGGCGAGTGACAACAGCCCAGGCTTGTAACAACGTTTGGAACATCACTAATAATTAGAAGACCCCTAGCCTAAAACATCAGCTATGCAGCAAAGGGGCTTTGGAAAAACTTTTTAAAACTACAATTTTAAAGAGATAAAGACCCAAGAAACAACCAATTTTGGAACAGAACTG